TTTTAAAGGGGAGTACTGAGAGTGAAGAGCTTCTATTAGCCACCATTTAAATTGACTGATATTGAAAGTCTGAATCTGAATTATACACCGAACCACATTCAGCTATTTGTAAATAGTTGAAAAGAGGAACATGAAATAATTTTCCATCAATGTCAAGTTCAATTGATATCCACAGAGACATTTTCCAAATTTACTCTGAACATTGAAAAAATAATAATAACGATCTTGTCATAGTAAGCTTAATTATCTAAGGTGATGAATCTAACCTGTCAAGAACGTATCTGGGTCATATTTATTTTATTGGCCCCAAAACCAATGAAAAAAATAAGAAATGATAGCTATTTACTAGTTATTATCTTTTTTAATGTTATTTTGTAATTTCCAGCTAACAAAACATTTCTGGACACATTGTGGTGATGAGAATTTGGTGGGGAAATTAATGTGCTTAATGTTTTTGTCAGATTCACCTGCTCACACACAATTAAATTATTTAGGATATGATAAAATAAAAACTGTAAAAAATGATCCTCAAACATTTGAATTAACCAAAGATTACACAATGTAACAAATTTTGTTTCACTTAAATTTTTATGGATGTTCTGTAATTCTGTGGTGCAAATTATTATTAGTTTTGGACGACTCACTTTTGGTAAGTTTTTATATTCAACAGTTGGTAGCTCAATATGCATGTACCATGTAATTTTAATGCACGAGTAATAACAAACTAGCTTGTAAGTTGTCAACATACTTTTTTTGTTGTTTTTTTGTGATTTTCATATTTAGCATGTCAAACTTCATAAAGAAACATTAAAATAAAATGGAAACAAAACTTTGTTTCACTGTGTTATTGGAGTACGTTTTACGTGAAAATACTATTTCATTTTTCTAAAACCTAGCAATTTTAGTGAAATTTGTTTTAGTTTTTTCAGCACCGTATTTGTCAAGATTCTGAAAGGCACCCTAATGTTATCTGTAGCACAGAAGGAAAAATAAAAAAGCGCACATATTTCTCAAATTCAGAAACGCTTTGAGATTGCAGTTCCACAATCAAGCTAGTAATACCTTTCCCCAAACAAACTCCCAATTCAATCCAGCCTCACAAAGTGAAAAGAGTTTGTGTGAATGGACCAATTCTGATTTACCGTAACCTGCACAGATTGTGAGATTTGAAAGAAGCTTGTGGTCAGGAGGAGGAAGATGATCAGCGCTCTCATTTTCAGCCTCAGATGGACAGTCTCAGAAGAGTGGCTCTGCATGGAAAGCGATTGCATTAAGTGAATTCAAATGTACATCAGGTCAAGCTATATAAAGTGTGATTATTGTGTTAATATGTTACTAAGTAAGCTATTAAGACCTGGTGGTCGAATACAGCCTGCCGTTTACATCTTGACCTCCTCTTTGATAACAAAAGAGGATGGACGTGTTTTCTGTATATGAACCATATACAGGCCTGTCATTAAGTCACAAACTGTACCAGTTATTCTCATAAATCCATCTGTTATGAGCACATACAGGACATGGATGTCAGCTGGCTGGCTTGCAAACTGGGATTTAGGAACAAGGCCATCTCCCTATACATTTCAGGGTCAGGGTTTGATAGTAGGAGTGCTTGCACAAATCTATATTAGTTCAGTAGCATGGCTGAATCTGTGACCTGATTTTACATCAAGAAACAAACACAGTGTTGGAGAAGCTACTTTGAAATTGTAGCTTGTCAAAAACATCTTTCTCATAACTTGAAATAGTTCAGCTAAAGTTTAGTTACTCTTGTTATACTAACTATACTGACAAATAGCCAAAATTGGTGTTTTAGGGTAATGACTAAACAACATTTGAACAGATTTACAATAAAGACCAATAAAACTGTAAAAAAAACAACAACAATTTATATATAACAGTGATTAACAGCAGAATTTAGAATATTATGGAGTTTTTAATTAATATTAGAATTCTTAATAAATATTTATTTTAAAGTTACTGTAATAATAATTAATACATATAAAATAATGACCTCAGCTTGCTTGTGTATAAAATGCAGAAAAGTAGAAAGGAAAAACAAACAAGTTCTGAATTCAGAACCACGTGATACGGCGTTATAAAATGGCAGTGCTCAGGTTAAAAAAAAAACTAAAAAACATGTCTCAAACCCCTGTTTTTCCATTTCAGACCGAACACATTTTTGTTTGAAAAACGTGATATGAGGGCAGTGTAATGGGGGGGAAATGCAAGGCCCCGAGATGCGGTTTTTTTTTTTAAACGTTGAACTTATTTTACCTTCACGCTGCGTTTTTATAATGCACAAAACACTGCAAAAGTTGTGAGCTCAAAAGGGCAAACATGTCCGACTAGCACATTTACCCAAGTCGCATCCCAAATTACGCACTATGCACTTATGCGCTATGTACTCAACCGTGTAGTGTATGAATTTTATAAGGTTATTTTGTAATTCATTATCGGAGTAATAAAAGTTGCAACAGTTGAGTGCATGACATGTCCAACATTTGTGTTTTTTTTTGGTTAATTAAGTGCATCCGGGCATTTAAAGTGCATATTTTCTTTTTGGAATTTCCAGTGGGAACACACTACTCTCACTATTTATACAAAATACATAGAATAGTATGTAGGCATAGAATAGTACATAAGTATGCAAAACGGGATGCCCCTTAAAGAAAAACATTGGAAAAGTAGTGCAGTGGAATGGAAAAACATGTTTTGTGTGAACAGCCTCCATTGCTGCATTCTTTGGTCAGGCATTACCTAATATTCACATCCAAAGAAACACTGTAGCCTATATCAGTCCGCTGCTCATCTCATTTATGCGGAGCTTCTGGGTATCTAGTTTATTCTCCAATACTGAACATAACCGAACTGTCAGTCAGTGCTGCATGCTATGCATACATTTATGGACTTGTCTTTTAAACAATTTTTTTTTTATTTTAATCATAATATTTTTGTTGACATACGCAGAATTTTTTGTTTGAGAAGTGAGCTTGTAATCTAATAATGCATGGCGATAAAACACGATGCATCAGAGTAATTCTGATAAACTTGGCCGGTGACACAACAGGATACTGTACTTGCGTCAATCCACTGAGCTATCGCAGTTGTGCAATAAAACCCACTAAACACAAAGAGATTGGGAAAAATTGCATCAATGCATATTGCTAAATGTTAACTTTGCAGACAGTATGTCATTTGATGTGTGACAGCTGTTGCTCCAGACACAATACAATCTGACTCTACATTTTTACATCTAGTAGTAGTACATCTTTTTTTGTTTGCATGCTCCTTTGGGAGCCATTGTCAGTTTGTGCCTGTGATGGCCTCTGAATTCGCAAAACTACTATCACTATCAGCAAATGAAGTGTTGTTCACAAGTGCCTTGAGCACATTTTCTCTTATATATGACAATGTATGTACATACATGTAGACTTATGTCATAAAAAAAATCAGTTTCATTCTATTCACAAAAATATTAAGTTGCAGAACATTTTTCAACATTGACAATAAAAAGAAATGTCTCTTGAGCACTAAATCAGCACAATAGAATGATTTCTGAAGACCCATGTGACACTGAAGCTAATGGTAAAGGCTGTTGAAAATAGATGAATAAATTACATTTTAAAATATTACAGTTATTTTAAATTGTAATATTTCACAATATTACTCTTAGTTTTTGTCAAGTAAGGGCAGCCGTGCTAAGCATAAGAAACCATTTAAATATCTTACCAACCCCAAATATATTAAATCAGTGTTTAAATAGTAAATCACATACAGTATCATACCTTTCCTGTATGGGCACCAAAACGGCCAATGCCACTAATGCCTCACAAAATAGGTGCATGACGCTTCATGTCTTCTTCTTTTGATGGTTTCACTACTCTCACCTTAAATTCAAAACAACAATTTACTTAGGGCTGGCTGGTCTAGGAGAGAAGCCCTCCCTAATGACCAAAACCTTCAAAGCGAAAGAAATGGTGCACTCTCCATTCTGTTGTTTACCATTTCACTGAATCTTTCAAAACAGGTAAATTACAGTTCCATGAGCAGCCTGCTTTTTTTTTCTGGAGCTTACGAGCAAACACAGAACAGTACACAAAAAGAACATGGTACCTAATCAATTTTTACTCAAAGCACAGAGCAGCAAATCAAGGTGGCTGTTTTATGAACAAATGTTGTGCTGCATAAAGGTTTGGATTCTAATCCGGACTACAAATGATCAGGAATGTGGTATGTTGGGGTGATGTATTGATGTGCTGCCTGCATGCAATCAATCAGCAGAACGGTTTCACCATACACATGCATACATTTCAAAACTCGCACAAAGACACACATTCATGCCTAAAATATTTCATGTCAAGTAGGTAATGAAAATATGGAATATTTAAATGAGCAGTCAAGAAGTTTCCTGAAGACATATATTAGTAAATACAGTCTTCACACTTAATGTTACTGTCACTCAACATCAATGAATCTTTTATGAGCAACAGCCCACCAAACCTCATCAAGAACTCATGGCGTATGTTGCTTTCAAATGGACTGAATATAAACATGAAGTAGTCTGCTTCCCTCCTGTTAGTCAAAAAGTATGGAATTAAATGGTTTACACTCAGACATCCCAAGTTCCTCATCCATTAAAAATGAACTAATTGTCTAGTTTGGGCTGTAAAACCGAATAACATTTTTGTAACATCAATCACATTCTTTCTACAATAAAAATGATACCCGATGCACAGAGAACAGATTTTCAATGCACTTTAATGAACACTGAGGCATTACCACACACAAAGGAGTATAAAACCCAGCAAAACTGAGAAATAGAAAAATAAAAAAGACACTTCTTTCTTAAATAAATGAAATATGTGCTGTAACAAAACGAAACGTGGGAAAGCAAAGAGGGGAAGGAAGTTTATAAGTAACAGTTTGCTGCCATTTTGAATTTTGCCATTCAGGCAACATTCGCACTGTGAGAACTTATGGCAGTAAATGAAAATATGCTGATTTTATTAAGTGGAGGATAATCAAGCAAGGGGATGATGGGAGGAGTTAGCAACCGGTACAAGCCGCAAAAGCACATATTTCACAGACGTCCACAGCCACAGATGCTGAAAAAGACAAAACGGTATCTCAGGTTAGATTGGGATTTATCAAGCAATACAATATAATTTATTGACAGCACATTGTGTACAATTATTGCACACGACTATTACCTAGCCTAGAGAAGGACATTGTTGCTCCTCTCTGCATGCACAGAGGCTTAAACTCCTGTGGGAGAGTTGGATTGGAGCATACAGAAAAGTAGCTCGTCTTGGCCAACCGAGGGTTTTGTGTTCGTGGTTGGTCGATTAATTGCTGGAGAACTTTCACCGAGTCCAACGAAAAGGAAAAATCACCTTCCTACAGGAGGGAAATTGTAGAAATGAATGGATGAGTTCAATTCTCAATGCCAAAATCGAACAATGCAAATAACTCAAATGACTCATGCCTTTATTGAATACACCTTAGTGCCATATACACAACAATATACACGTTTCAGAATCAGGTCAGATGCAAACTAAAGCAATTCTGAGGAGATTACATCCATAAATCATAGAATAGAGTGTTCATAAGGTTCATCTAAACTAGTAAGATGTTTTTAATTACAAAGAAGCAGTAATGACAGCAATAAAAGCTTGAGCTTACCTGGACTTGCACAGCCTCAGAGACCAGGCAAAGAGCTACAAGGAGGAAAGCGACAGACAAAACGGTCTTCATGCTGGCTGACTCTTCTCGAGAACGGTTTAGCTGTTTTTCCAGTTGTGGTTACTGCAATCTCTGCCTTTCTCCTCTTTCTGTCTCCTTTTATATAGGAACTGATCCCCGGACCAGCAACCTATCAGAACCTCTCATTGTTTCTTTGCTGTTAATGAATAAAGAGGATAAATTTTACGATGTCGTAAAACAGATTTCATAAATCCTACGTGACCTCATCTGTAGTTGTGACATACACTTTTATGGATCTTTTAGTTAGGTTTGTCTAGTGTCCTGTTCTTCATTTTCTAGTTAGGGTTAATTAATAACCACACAATGAGCACACAATAGTGTCTTTGTGTTGGAATACCAATGCAAGCAAATATCGAAACAAAGCTACACTTTAGGTATTTTTTTCCCTGATCACAGGCTATGACTAAATGTTTAGTCATTGTCTGTAGTACACTTTTTGCAAATATTACACTAATGATCTAATATATCATGTTGTAAGATTGTTGTATTCCTCTGTGGATGTTTTAAAAGTGAAAACAGACTTTCTCTGGACCCTATGAGTGATATATAAAATAATACATAGATATTTAAAGATATACAACTTTAAAGAAGATCATAAGATTGCTTTTAAACATTTAGTCTAGGGCACTAGTTCACAACTAGTGGGTCATGATGACCCAAAAATGTTGTGAAAGGGTCATGGACAGTAAAGAAAAAGAAAATGTAACTAACTATATAAGTGCGTACATCAGTCTTAATTAAGCCACTGCATTTTTTGGTGCAAATGTGTCAGTTGTAAACATGGTTAAGGCATAATGCTCAAATAAACACAATATTTGGCTAATAAATTACAATTCTGCTGTTGTTTGCATTTAAATTTTGCCAAATTTTCCCATTTCGCTTGTATGATTTTAAAAACAGTTTCATTTCTTTTTACAAATATTTAACAGTATTGAGATACATGAATTATAAAGAAATTAATACTTTTATCCAGCAAACATGAATTAAACTGATTTGATCATAAGCAACAGATGATGTATCAATTTCCATAAACTGTTTTTAACATTAATAACAAGAAAGTGAGCATATTAGAATGATTTCTGAAGGATCATGTGACACTGAAGTCTGAAAATTCAGATTTGCAATCACAGAAATACATTAAATTCAAATAAAATACATTTTAATTGTAATAATAATTTACATTATTGCTATTTTTGCTGTATTTTTGATCAAATAAATGCAGCCCTGGTGAACATAAGAGACTTCTATGAACTAAAAGGAGAGCTAAAAAAAGATAATGTCTCAGGTTACGTATGTAACCATGGTTCCCTGATTAGGGAACGAGACACTGCGTCCTCTAGGGGTCGCTATGGGGAATGCCTCGTCGTGACCCGTGTCTGAAGCATACATTGAAAAAACACCAACAACACGTTGGCCGGCGACAGCATGACGTCACTACCGGTGAGACTATAGTATAAATAGGCGCCGGGAGAACACATCATCCACTTCTTCGTCTGAAGCTTGCGTCTGAAGCTTGCATGCAAAGCATGGCAAGAA